GTCAGATTGAATGTTTGATCCAAGTTTGTTTTCATCTTCAGATACGGCTGGAAAGAAACTGTCGAGGTAGTGCTGACAGGTCGCAAACTCGCTCCACAAACTTGAAAGACAACCAAGGAAAAACATCTCTACAGTTCGCATGCGCAGAAGGCCATGATAGAGTGGTCGAGCTTTTGATTAAGCTTGGCGCTTGTGTGGAAAAAGTAAGGTTTCAGATAACGAGAAATCTGCTCTTTTTTTTCGAACAACACGAGTGCAGGGAACCTTTCGATAAAATTTTGCATCCTCGCCTGTGCCATCCTCGCATGTCGGGGAGAGGTCATGGGAAGGGAGAAGTTCCAAGAGACAAATGACTCCCTCTATTATAGCAACTTAATTAAAATGATCTGTAATGACAAGGCTACGTATACTGAGCACAACTTTTAAAATCACCTGGCATGCTTCCATATTCCATCAAGAAGCTACTGTAAGATCCTATCCTAAAAAGTATCCGCCTTCCGCGTCCGTCATGAGTCCAAAAGTGCAACGAAACCACAGAAAAACTGAGAAAACATCAGTAACTGAAGCAAGAACACTTTCGAAAGTATTGCCTGAAAATCATTCGTGAAATATCTCTGCTGAGTTTATACGATACATATTGTTCACACGGGATCGCCTCCGAAGGTTTTGGTTTTGAACGTTGTCTTTGGAAAAAGCAGAAAGACTGAGGCAGGGAGAGTACAGTTGGCGAAAGACGAGGGTATACTTATGTTTATAAATTTGGTAATTTCGTGTGATGCATTAACTGGCACAGGAGCGCTGCATCAACAAAGAGAGAGCTTTAATTTTAACCCTGCAAAATGCTAAGTTTATCTGTGATACACTTTTAGGGATCACAATGACAGAACAGCTCTACATATTGCAGCCATGAGGGGCTCCAAGCGATGTGTGCAGTGCATTTTACAAAATCATCCTCAGTGCATTAATCTCTTCGACAAGAATCAGGTACGGTACGTAGCTCTTAGAAGTAACAAAAATTTGACATCCTGAAAGTTTCAACCGATAAAAGGAGCCGAAAAGGTCTTTGCTGCTGGAGCGTAACATCTCTGAAGTCTTGCGCTTGTTCATCCCCGGAAACCATCACACCCTTCCCCCCACCA